TGGAGTTACACTGGAAGCACCTTCTTGGACCATTTTCCTGTCCCGGAGGTCTGTGATGGGGATTTCTAGGAGGGGAATGATTCTGGGGAGGTGAATGCCTGGGCCCCGAACCTCACTATTTCCTACCTGGGGTGGGGTCCCTTTACCCTAGGTTTGTGACCCTCATTCTGTGTCTTGCACTCATTAGACATCTGACCTTGCACAAAGGAATCAGCCAGGATGGCAATTTCCTGTACAGAATGTAAAGATATATTCCATATTGCATGTCTGACCTTCTCAGAAGAGTTGCTTAGGAAATGGTCTTGAGCAGAGAGATCAAACAGTTAGTCACAGTTCTCAGCTCACTTTCCCTTTACCTGTTTTCTCATTAGATCACACATTTTATAGGCATACTCACTTCACTCATGCCAGCACGTTTCCTGAGTTTCCTAAATTGCAGCCTATACGCTTCTAGAGTAATTTGAAACCTGTGCAAAACAGCTTTTTAAAATTCAGGATATTTCAAAGCCTCTCCAATCAGCATTTCATTAAATATATTTAAAGCTTTACCAGAGAGTTTTGCAATCAGTGTGGGGACTTCCTTGTCTTACGAACCTCACATAGCTATTCAAAAGTGCAAAGATATTCATCAATACAGTCTATTTCCTTGTATGCTGTGTGCAGCTTATCTCAGCAGAATGCTTCTTGGATGAAGGGAATGCCTGGGGACTGTGGGATCTATCTATGTCTTGCCATCATGTCCAGATTATTCTCTCTCTCCTCCTTTTCTAGGGCTTCTTTGTGTTTCAGTTACATGGCTCGTCACTGTGCATCTTCCTACTGCTGCGTTTCTTCCTCTCCTTGGCTTTCATGTCTGTGTACCACTTTCAGTGTTCATGCTCTGTCTTTTTGTTCTTTCTCTGACCTAGCCAGCTCTAGCTTTATAGTTGCTTCTCTGGTGCTCATGTTTATTCTTTACTATTGTTCTGTTTCTCTTACCCAAAATAAACAGAAAATAAAAAACGGTAACCTCTCTTTATTGTTCCCAGCCGCTACACTGAGACTCACTTAAAACTGTTACACCAGTGCTTAAAGTGTAAATCTCCATTAAAATACCAGTCTCTGTATAAATCCTGTTTCGACTACACCACTGTCACATTCTGGGATGCAATCCAGACCAGTGAGGGGTCATGTCACCGCTTGCCCTGCAAACTTTGATGCCTCAGAATGTTTTGTTGCTATAGCTCCCAACTTGGGTCGTTCTCAGTCAGCCTGCCAGCATGCAGTCACACCCTGAGTATGTATAGCCACAGTACTGGTCCAGTACAGTAACTCCTCACTTAACGTTGTAGTTATGTTCCTGAAAAATGCAACTTTAAGTGAAACGATGTTAAGCGAATCCAATGTCTCCATAAGAATGAATGTAAATAGGAGGGGTTAGGTTCCAGGGAAAATTTTTTTGTCATACTATACAGTACAGTACTATAGTTGGGAGGTGCCCCTGCCTTACGCCACACAGGCACAGCCCACTGGCACTGGAGACAAGGAGGCAGCCAAGGAAGCTGAAGGTGCTGTAAGCTAGGGGAAGCGCGTTGCACAGCAGCGGCGGCAGCTTCCCCTACTCTGCAAGCACCAGGGGCGGGGGGGCTCAACCCTTGGCCCGCCCGCTCCACCCCTTCCCCCAAACCCCCACCCTTAACCCACCTCTTTTTCCCCCCCTCCTCTCCCTTTAGTCCACATGCTGCATCCTTGCTCCTCCTGCAGGCAGGAGTCGGGAGGGAAGGGGGAGGCGCACTGCGTCCTCAGTCCTCCCCCCCCCCTCTTTGCCCGTGGCAGTCAGCTGGCTTGTGGTGTTTACGAGGACTCGGCACGCAGCCTCCCTCCCTCCTCTTCCTCCTGCCTGCAGCAGTCAGCTGGTTTGCGACATTCAAGAGGCAGGGGAGGGAAGGGGAGCCTGCGTGCTGAGTCCTCGCTCTTCCTTCCTCCCTCCTGAATGCCGCAAGCCAGCTGATTGTCGCAGGCAGGAGGCTGGGGGAAGAGAGGGAAGGCGCTGATCCGCAGGGTCTGCCGGCGGGCGGGAGGCGCTGGGGAGCGTAGGGGAGCTGATGGGGGGGAGGCTGCCAGTTGTGGACAAAGCAGGCAGCCAACCGACATTTTAGCAAAGCATTGCACAACTTTAAATGGAGCATGTTCTGTAATTGAGCAGGGGCGTAAGATCGAAACAATGTTAAGCGAGAGGACGTTAAGTGTGGAATTACTGTAACTCTGATCCCAGCAGCCTGTCAGCAACACTCTGGCTCCCAGCAGCCTTGGTTGTTGACTTACAGGGTGACCCCAACATACTCCCGGTCCTGAATTTTCTCAGAAATGTGTGTTCTGCACTGTCCATCCCTCTCCTGGGTAATACTAGGTTCCTTGACCTAGTAAGGGGTCAATATGCAACCGTTTGCTACTTTAATTGGAGTTTATTCAAACAGTTCAGTTCAACCATAACACTGGATTAGTTTTAAAGAATAATACTAATTTATATAACGACAAAAAGAGATTAGGTGAGTACAAATACAAGGTATTACAAAGTCAGAAATGGTTACAAGAGAACTAAAGATCTAACGCTTCCTAGTAGCTAAAACTTGACAAACTAGTCTTGATTCAAGGTATAATCCTTACCACACGTTCCCAACAACAGTGCTAAAGTCAGGATCTGTCCCCAAACTCCAAAGAGCTGTTCCTTTGTATTCATAGGTATGTGAGAGAAGGAGGGGAGATGTTTTTGCCCCTCACTTTTATAGTCCAGTCCCCCTTTGAAGTGGATTCTTCTGAGGATTACTCCTCAAAGCAAAGTTTATTCAAACAGTAAAGAAGGCCATGCGGAAGTGGCCCCATGCTCTTTCTTCTCCCCTGAGTATGCTGAAATACAGATTTGCCTTGTCTGTCTCTTGCTGTCTCAAGAACCCTGTTTACTACTTTTATGTAAATTTTGGTAAACACACATTCCTTTGTATAACATAAACCTGTTTAACCACTCTTGCCTAGTCAGGGTTGTGTGGGTTTGAACATGTGCTACCAACATCATAGAGGGTGAATTCTTAACTTTACATGTAATGTTGCTATGTACATTTCACCATGATATTACTGACTAGTGCGTTTTTAGTTTTCAGATGATACCTCACAAGGCATATTTTGTACAAAGATTATTACATAAGTGTGTAGGGTGTGAATACAGGGGTGCATTCGGTCATAGGTTTATTTTTGTATAGATCTGTTTCTTTCTCATGCTGTTAGAGAGCTCTGGTGGTTTAAAATTTTATGCAAAGTACACAACACTATGGTGGCACAGCTGATTCAGTGTAAACATTACCTAAGATGACAGGAGAATCTCTTCCATCAGAGTAGGTAATCCACCTCTCTGAGAGGCAGTAGCTAGGTCGACTGAAGAATTCTGGCCTCTGTTTACACCTACCACATGCTCCCTTGAAGAGATAAACTATAAGATGCTGTGCGGAGCTCTGGAGGAGGGGGTATTTAAGCTATGGGGGAAGCCTGAGGGGTCAGTACTTGTTCTAGGGTCAAGGCGGGGGGCCTTGTGGTCTAAGCTCTCAGGATGATGTACTAGACAGAGGAGCTGTACCCCGAAAGTATACCTGTGGACCTCAAGACAGTAGCAGTGCCTGGACTCTTAATCCTCTGGAGTCTGAACAAACACCTGCAAAGTCCGTGGTTGGATCACCCATAGCAGTTTGCTGAGGGGCCAAGAGGAGACACTTGTCTGGGGCTGTTTCAGTCTTCCTAATCTGTAATGAGTCAATCCTAACAGTTCTGTAGCTGTCCATAGTGCATTTCAAATAAAATAAGGTATACAAGAACTGAATTTCTAATGTGTAAAGATTTTGAAAGTACCTTTTTTGCTTTTATTATGTGTATAAACAAACAACCCCATTGTTTTTTTTGTTTGCGGGCCACCTTTCAGGAAAGGCATTCCATGATCGATCAGCCTAAAATCTAACCTACACTTAAAATCCCCCTAAAAATCTGTAGTTTGTTTCCTGTGAACCCCCCTAGTTGAGAGCTGCAGCATAGATAAAACACCAACTTTTCAGCTGGGTAGCTTGTCATCTACATATAAAGGGTATTGATTTCTCTCACTCATTTGGGCATGCATCACGTCTGTCCTTGTGAACAGGCAGGATATTTACAGTCTCTGAATTGCTTCAGTACTTGCATATTTCAGTGCCTTCCATTCTCCAAGAACTACAGTTGAACCTGAGTTATGAATACCTCAGGAATGGAGGTTCATAACTGACATTTTTTTAACTCTGAACTAAACATTTTGATTCTTTCCGAAGTTTACACCTGAGCATTGACTTAGTACAGCTTTGAAACTTCACTATGCAGAAGAAAAATGCTGCTTTAAACCATCTTAATTTAAATGAAACAAGCACAGAAACAGTTTCCTTACCTTGTCAAATCTTTTTTTAAACTTTCCCTTTATTTTGTAAGTTTGTTTAACACAGTACTGTACTGTTTTCTTTTTTGTGTGTGTCTCTCTCTTGATGCCTGATTGCATACTTCTGGTTCCAAATGAGGTATGTGGTTGACCAGTCAGTTCATAACTCTGAGGTTCTACTGTAGATGTCTTGCAAACCAAAATAAAACTAAATTAGAAATAAAAATCTTAGCAACCTTACCTGTCCAGGTCAGGAGTGTACTGAAAGAGTGTAATGTTCATATTATTTTTTGTCAATGGTTTAATAACAGCTAGGACTTCTATATATATCTTTCATACATAAATCTCAACGCTTTTTACAAGCACTCAAGCCTTGCAGTGTCCTTTTTTTGTTATGAGTTTGCAACAGAAGCCATCTTCAAACTACTCCACTTTGAAAGTAAAAAAGCAATTTTCTGATGGTTTTAAGTAATTTTGATATTAGAGATTTGCTGTAATAAATCTTTGGCTGGTCAAGACACATTTAGAAAATACTGACCGTTTACTTTTACTGTTATGTTCACTTTTATAAAATTAGGACTGGGCTCTTGGAGTTCTGCATGCCAAAATAATTGCTGCCATAACTCTGATGGGCCCACAGTGGTGGTTGAAAACAGTTATCGAACAGGTAAGAAAGTAACATTTTTTTTCTTTATTAGAGCGCATTAAAATATAAGTTAAGGAAAAAAAGAACAAAAACAAGGAAGGACCTGAACCTAAAATTGGTAACTCCTATTTCAAAAGCCATGTATGTCCACTCCCCACTACATTTGAGTTAACATTATACCATAATTCCTGGTTATGTCCTGCAATGTTTTGCCTCCAAATATTTCTTAACAGTCTTATTTCTTGGTGCTCATTTTTCTCATTAATCATAACTTTTTTTTAACACCTGGTCCTTGAGTATCTATCTGCCTTCTGATTTAGATATTACTGGGCACAAAATTTTGTTAACTGGGATTCCAGGCTGTAAATAAAAATTAGCTATGTGGAAAAAAATCTTTGAGAGTAGAGTAGTCTTCAAAAAGTTTTTATTTTTATTTTTTTTTAATATTAGCTAGGAAATTTAAAGTTAAGGTTAAATTAGGAAATTATAATGCATGGAAATACACAATTAAAGTCATTCAATCTTAACTGATTGTCTGCCAGCTGTGCAAACACTGTACATGAAGACTTCTTGCTAAAGGTTCTTGTTTGACTTTAACTCTGTAATCTACTAAATCTCTTTTATTTGTGTAGTTGGTCTGTGAAGTTGAACTCTGGAGTACATAGCTTAGTATGTACATGCAAATTGCCTGCCGTGCTGTGCCCATGGATATAAACTACCTAATTTGAGGTCAAGTCTTTGAAGTGTAGTTGTAGGCCACATATGAAGTATTGCGTACAGTTTTGGGCCCCCCACTTCAGAAAGGTTTCAGAGGAACAGCCGTGTTAGTCTGTATTCGCAAAAAGAAAAGGAGTAAATCTTTGCAATTTATTTTTTCCTTTTTCAACTACTGAACATGTGTAAGTGCTTCATGGACCATAGAATTATCACCTCTGAGTTTGGTGATGTACTTTTTATGCAAATCATGCCGGTTTGTACATGGGACATGATTTTTTTTCCAGTCATTTAGGTGCCTAAATACAGATAGGTTTCGGAGTAACAGCCGTGTTGGTCTGTATTTGCAAAGAGAGGGGGAGTGCTTGTGGCACCTTGGAGACTGGCCAATGTATTTGAGCATGGGCTTTCGTGAGCTACAGCTCACTTCGTCGGATGCATACTGTGGAGGATACAGAGGATGTTTTTATACACACAGACCATGAAAAAATGGGTGTCTGTGTGTATAGAGACATCTTCTGTGTTTTCCACGGTGTGCGTCCGATGAAGTGAGCTGTAGCTCACGAAAGCTTATGCTCAAATAAATTGGTTAGTCTCTAAGGTGCCACAAGTACTCCTTTCCACTTCAGAAAGGATGTGGACAAATTGGAGAGTCCAGCGGAGGACAACTAAAATGATTAGGGGGCTGGGGCACATGATTTATGAGGAGAGGCTGAGGGAACTGGGCTTATTTAATCTGCAGAAGAAGAGTGAGGGGAAATTTGATAGCAGCCTTCAACTACCTGAAGTGGGGTTCCAAAGAGGATGGAGCTTGGCTGTTCTCAGTGGTGGCAGATGACAGAACAAGGAGCAACGGTCTCAAGTTGCAGTTGGAGAGGTCTAGGTTGGATATTAGGAAAAACTTTTTCACTAGGAGGGTGGTGAAACACTGGAATGCATTACCTAGGGAGGTGGTGGAATCTCCTTCCTTAGAGGTTTTTAAGGGCTGGCTTGACAAAACCCTGGCTGGGATGATTTATTTAGGATTGGTCCTGTTTTGAGCAGGAGGTTAGACTAGATGACCTCCTGAGGTCTCTTCCAACCCTAATTATTCTGATAATCTGTTTAAAAATATTAAAAATAATACCTGTGAGGTTCTGTGTTTATCTTAATAATCCTAGATCATATCTGTTCAATTTATAAGTAAATAGATGGTCTTTCTAAATGCAAACCCTGGAAAATGAGGGTCAACCTGTATTACTTCTGGCTCACAAATCAGTAGTAGTAATTTTACAGCAGTTCAGTGCAGTAGTGTCTTGCTGTTATAATCAGGATTGGGACCTCATTGAACTGGATGCTGTAGAAACACATAGTAAAGAGACTCTGTACGTCCCAAAAAGATAATCTAAGGTAAAATAATACTCTGTTTGATTAATGGTGGAATAGAATCTTACTTTCTTCCATAGCTGCTGGCTCTGCAGTGTTAACAAGGAATACAAAGTAGTAAACATTTATTTTAGTAAAGTTAAGCAGCTATATGCTTAAAGAGAGTAACTGTTGTACAAGAAAATGCCATTTTTACATAGTCACTTCTCAAAATGGTGTTTTAAGAATTTTGTAGTGCCAGTATCACAGCTATATGTCTCTGCTAAAACTCTGTATGACAGTGCTTTCATTTGAAACAGTGTATTGTTTTTGGTAATTGTCCCAAACATTGTCTCATTTGGTGAAGAGAGGTGTATGCTTCGCTTTATGCCATATGGGCCCTATGTAAATGCCAGACAGTCAGAATATTTTACTCTAGAGACAGGTGTACTTTTGTTTAAGTCTCCCTTACTCTTATTTCAGGTTCAGCTACATCACTTCTCTGTTTTGGAGTCACTAGCAGGGTCATGGTACACTATTTGAGGTTTTCATTGCTCTGTAAAAGGTGACACCAAGTAAAAATGGATTGGGTGACCTTAACTGTGTGTTTCCATTCTTTTTAATGTTTTCTCTTTTAAGTGTAACTTATTTTTAAAATTTAGACTTTCTTACGTTTGTGGGGGTTTTGTGTTCTCAATTTTTTTCCTCACACAAGTAATTTCCTGAAGAGTTTTGAAACCCCAATATCTCAGAAATGCTTACCTACATTGCTTGAAGCTTTCTAGAAAAATCCGACCCTGGTAGATGATACTGCATGCCAACTTTCTTATGGATTAGTCAAGTATTGGCAAGGTTTGGAGTCAAAATCGGTCTTAGAATGGGAGAATCAACCTTAGTATGGAGATACAATAGTAAACTGACCAATCCTAAATATGATTGCACTTTTTCTACTCAGAATATTCAAGTAAGTTCTTTGAAAAAAAAAACAAACAAACATAAATGTCCACAAACATCAATTTTGAACACTCAAGTCAGAAAATGGAATAATTGTTGTTATACCACTAATAACTCAGGACATAAGATGTCCTGTATTTTTATTGTATGTGTCTGATACATTAAGCTACAGTACAATTTAAAACTGGAATAGAAAATAGAAAAATATTGCATACAGATGTGCATTGTGATAGTCTCCGTTAAAATGAAGTTTTTTTCCTAACTTTCAAGAGTTTGCAAATATGAAAACTTGATATTACTATTTTAAAGGTATGTCAATAATTTTTAATATGACCTTTTCTTAACTAAAAAGGAGATCAGTAAATAAGAAAGTTAAAGGTTTCCTGAGGCTTACCTTTAGATATGTTACAAGTTGGATCCTAGCAGAATTTTTAAGCTCCACAGGAGAAGAGCTTCTAGTCTATAAAATAGATATAATTAATATCACTACATGTTTTAAGCAATAAATGTGGGTTTATTTCATTTTTTTTCTCATTTCTTATTCATTCCTCTACACTATCCTGCTATAAGAGGAAAGGATATAAACGCCTGAAATTGACTCAATCTCTGGAAACAGGACTAGATGACCAATGAAAGTGAAAATTAATAGAAAAGTGAAAGTTGGCTTCAGATGGATTCTATACCAAATGAACCAAGATTAAGGAGGAAACTTCTCCCCCAAAAAATTGATCTTGAGAACTTTTTGTTACATAGACATGAGCAACTAAAGAATATTAAGATAAATAAAATCTTACTGGCCTTACAGAGAAAGCTAAGTGTCACTTGGGAAGAATGAGGTGTCTACATTTACTTATTATTCCTGGGGAAATTCTGCATCAAAAAATTAAAAATGTGCACAATATTTTAAAATTCTGCCAGATTCTGTGTATTTTATTTGGCAAAATAACAAAATATAGTCATGCCAGTTTCAATTATTTTGGCAATTTATTTCAATATATCTGTCAGCAAATATGTCTGTAACAATACAACAAAAAGATTCCTTGCTAGGCATATAAATACAGAACTTTGAGTAATTCATTTAAACTACAATACAGAAATGTATTTCCCGCACCCCTCAGAAGCAGTGCAAAGGCTTGGGAGAGTCAGGGATAATGGAGGAGCTGAGGGAGAGGGAAGTAATTGCTGGGAAGGAGCCTGGAAGTGAACTTGGAGGGTTGTTGTGTGTGGGTGGGAGAAGTATGGAGCAGATAATTTAAGGGGGAAGGAATTGTTAGAGAGTTGGGGAGCCTCTCCCAGGCAGACCCTGGCTGACCCTTAGCCTCTCCCATTCAGTCAAGCACATCTGCCCCATCCCTGTGTGTCCCTGCACCTCCACTACCCCCTGTGGCCCTGAACCTCACTCAGCCAGGCATAGCTGCCCCTGTCCGGATGTGTCCCTGCACCTCCACTTCCCATCGAGCCAGGCATAACTGCTCCTGTCCCCATGTGTCCCTGCACCCCCACTCTCATTCAGCCCCTGGTTCAGTGTTGTCACCCCACTAGCTCCTATGCCCCGCCGCACTCTGTCCTCCCACACTGGCCCTTCTGAACCCTAGTCTGTATGGGAACACCCCCACCCCCAGCAACCCTGTGTGCTCCGCTCTGTCTGTCCTGGGCCTTCTCACCTGGCCCCATGGGCAGGGTGCTGTGAGGAAAGCAGCCTCTGCCCCCTCCCTCTCTGTGGTTGGCTGCTGTGCCCCATGAGCCAGCTGCCCTCTCTTCTGGTGCCACAGAAGCTCCTGGTGGGCAGAAGGTGTAATTGTAGTGTGACCTCTCACAGCTTCCCTTCACCTCCCCATCAGAGTCAATTATTCAGGGCGGGGGCATGTGAGGGGGACATTAATTCTGCACTTGTATAATGGCGCAGAATGGCCCCAGGGAAAATGTATAGACACTTCTATAGTGTTTATCATGTTTAGTATCTGAGCACTTTTTCAAAACAAAGATCTATCACTTACCTCTGGAAGATGGAACTCTCCTCCTTTTTCTAAACTGCTTTCTTAGTCCTTTCCTACATATGCTAGGGCAACAATTAGTTGCTGACAGTAGTTCCTCCTGGTTCCACTTCAGCTAATTTTGAAAGACATTTAACTGCTAATATAGACTGGATAAACAATTTTCAATAAGGTAACAGAAAGTATGAAACAGACTTGTTGGAACCACTTTGGGATTTCTTCCTTTGACTTTTCAGAAGAGCCTATATTTGAGCTTCTGATCATGCTGCCAACACTCACTTGTTCAGTCAGGCTCTTGGTTCAGTGGTGTTTTGGTTTTAGTTTGGAGATTTTGGGGTAACTTTATTTTTTGGTGGGTTGGTTGATTTTATCATAATATTCTTATTACCGTATTTCCTTTCACACCCACTGCATGCAAGTTACTTGTTTTGAATGTACACATGCCTACTGAATGGCATTTTGGTAAAAGTTTACACTACATTACTTTACACTTGTACACCAAGGATATAACTGTAGATTTAAAGGTGAGGAAAAAACTAATAGTGACTACTGTTTTAGGTATTTAAGTAGGATGAAAGTTAGAATAGAATGAATGGGAGGTAGATTAAGGGTGCTACAGTTCCTTGTTTTTGCAGTTTACACTGCTGACATTTATGGAGTAACTGAAGTATAATAAAACCTATTAGAAAAGGGACCACTAAGGGAGAAACAGAATGTGTTGTATGTTACAGTAGTATGTATATCTGTGGACAAAGAGATGTCTCTGAATTGAGGAGTAATGATAGTGTGTGTGAGAGAGAGAAAAATTGTGTATTATTAAAATTAGAAACCTGGACATATTTTAAAGAATGTAAATATGATAAACTTAATGTATAATGAAAAATTACATAGGTTGTATGCTAAATACTTTCATAATTATGGATCAAAATTCATGGACTAAAAATTAAATTAACAGTTGTTAAACACCTGGTTTATTAAAAACCAGTTACTGAAACATTTTTGTATTTCTGTAACATCACCAGCAGTTACAAAAATAAGTTTTGCCATTGCTGGTATTTTTTCTACAATCATAGCCATTTCTCCAAATGAAAAACAGCCTTTCTTAGGCCTGGTCTACACTAAAAAGCTAGGTTGACCAAACTACACCACTTTGGACGGAAAAATTCTTCCATTGACCTAGTTACTGCCTCTCAGGGAGGTGGATTACAGCTATGTCGCTGTAGCATTTCAAGTGTAGACAAGCGCTAAGTCTGTGATAACTTGTGAAGGTGTCACCAAAGTTATTTAACTAGGTACGTTTAAGGAAAATATTGAAGTACTAACAAAGAAACACTTGAATTATGTAAAACACTTTTATTTACCAAAACCTGTAGCGATTTTCTGATTCACTCTTCCTGATCGTTTTGTCTTTCTTCTTAGGTTTATGCAAATGGAATTCGTAATATCGATTTACATTTTATCATTCGAAAACTGGCAACACCTGTAATCTCTGTTCTGTTACTTTCCCTTTGTATACCTTATATCATAGCTTCTGGTGTTGTTCCTTTGTTAGGTAAGTATAAATTATAGGTATTTGTTTCATTATCTGGCCATTGTGCCTAAGAGGGGCTATGTCTACACTACCACCTCTGTCAGCAAAGTTTGTGTCGCTCAGGGGTGTGAATATTCCACCTCCGAGTAACATAAATTATGTGGGCATAAGCGCTAGTGTACACAGCACTGTGTTGGCGGGAGACTTCTCTCGCTGACATAGTTGCCAGTGCTCATTGGGCGTGGATTAATAATGTCGACGGGAGAGAGTGGCTACACAAGAGATCTTACAGCAGCACACCTGCATCGCTCTCTAGTGTAGCCTTAGATGTAATAAAGGAAATACAGTATAGCATCAATGTTAAGTAGCAAATGTAAATGCTTAAATAGTGATGTCACCATGCATTTTGTTTAATGTCTTTGGTACATTGAATATAAATGTTTTAAATGAGATCTTAGAGAGACTAGGTGGGTGAGGTGATATCTTTTATTGAACCAACTTCTGCAGGGGAGAGAGACAAGCTTTCAAGCTTACACAGAGCTCTTCAGGTCTAGGAAATGTACTCAGTATGTCACAGTTAAATACAAGGTAGAATAGATCATTTAGCATAAGTAATTAACACTCCATTTCAGGGGGCCATTCAAGGTGAAGTGGCCAGTTAACATCTCTCCAGGCATTTGAGGGAAGGAGAGCTGGGGGAGGAGGGGGTTAAATGGGTTTATATATATATATATATAGTTGTACAATCATGGAATCTCAGGGTTGGAAGGGACCTCAGGAGGTCATCTAGTCCAACCCCCTGCTCAAAGCAGGACCAAGCCCCAATTTCTGCCCCAGATCCCTAAATGGCCCCCTCAAGGATTGAACTCACAACTCTGGGTTTAGCAGGCCAATGCTCAAACCCTGGTTGTCAAATATCACTGAGGCCAGACACCTGTTAGTGTAGGTGGACATATGTTCTATCATATTAAAAGTTTATTGAGCTGAGTTAAAGAGTTAATTCTCAGAGAGGGTGCAAAGGGAAGACTAGAGTAGGTGAAACTAATGTATTTTGTTTTGTATTGTTATCAGTACATTAAAGTTGTTAAAATGTTTCTGAATTTGAGTTCTGTTTAAATATGAGTTCCATAGATGTGGACTATTTCCACCAGCTTTCTAGAACAGTAACTAAATTTACTAAGGCACAAATAGATAATTGTGCAAATTTCAGCAGAAACATGAGGAATTCAAAGTTTTGATGGAACATCTGTTTTGGTTACCACTTGTTTGTTGTTAAGCTTTTTATATGTGAGGCAGTTATGGATATAGGGAGTCCAGTAATTGTACCAGTTGGTCATTCACCTCTTACATGAATGTAGGTGAACATCTCATCGTATCTGAAACTATATATATGTCAGTAAGCAAACAGGACTCCTGCTCACTGTTTGGTTTTGCAACTTGAGTTTTCACGATGCTTACAGCTTCAGCCCCCAGTGCCCAGTTGTTATGTTGGATCTTTCAAAATTCTGGACATGTTGTTTGCCTGCTCTCCAATAAATGTGTAACATAAATGAGCGTGTACAGGCTAAGTTCACAAACTCATGATTTCAGTTAAATGAGGAAGTGGAGGTAAAACTAGATACTCACTAGCAATAGAACTGACGGTATGCTTGTTTACAAGGGTAGGCAAATTAGTTAATTTTCCTCAGTTATGATTCATTTGATACACAGTATTTAGAAATGCATATTTCATGCTAATATTTAGCCTCACTTGTGGTACTTCCCTAGGGGAGAGGGGGAGAAAACTGCATGTTCTGTTCAATAGTGCTGTTGGATACTGCAAGATGTAATGGATATATGTGGACCTAACTATATATATTTTGCAGGTGTTACTGCTGAAATGCAAAATTTAGTACAGCGCCGAATTTATCCTTTCCTACTCATGGTGGTAGTTTTGATGGGGATCCTGTCCTTCCAGGTCCGCCAGTTCAAGCGCCTTTATGAACATATTAAAAATGACAAGTATGTACACATCACCTGCCCTGCAACTGGAAATTTTTCTTAAATTGTGACAAGTGAGATCAGACCTCTTTTGAGTTCAGAAATGATGCAACACTGTACACCATGTCATTACTGTGCCACATGACAGAATGGGCACATTCTTCATGCACATCCTTGGCACCAATTATATATAATTAGAAAGCATATTTGTTTTAACGTATTTGGACAAATGATATTTGCTGTGTACTGATTTTTCTCAATGCAACGTGTTGGAGAAATACTGGGGAATTAAACGTTGAGCTGAAAAATCTCAATGTGTGTAAGTTCCGAATAAAAGTGAAAGATTCCTTCACAATAAAGTACCTCAATAAAATATTGTTACTAAGGGACTGGATGGCTAAAGAAACTTGCAATGGATTTCAGGTTACCTGTTCAAATATGGCCTCTGCTGGTATTTGGTAGCAGTGAAAAGTCACTAAAATGTAACCGCTCTTGATGATTTTGGTTCATGAGAACAGCCATACTGGGTCAGATCAGCTGTCCATTAAGACCAGTATTCTGTCTTTTGCTATGGCCAGTGCCAGGTGCTTCAGAGGGAGTTATCAGAACAAGGCAATTCCACGTGATCCATCTCTTGTCGTCCAGTCCCAGCTTGTGGCAGTTGGAGGTTTAAGGACACCTAGAGTGTGGGGTTTTTTTCCCTTAGTAGATGTATGTGCTTTACAAAACGAAACCTAAATGGCTCCCATATTGACGTCATCACTAGAGAAGCCAAAGCCTGGATAAGTGAAATGAGTGAGCAAACATCTCCCCACTAGATGTGGCGCTTACAGCACTGTGGTGACGCACAATGATAGCGCAGCGTGGGAAAGTACAGCCCCTGCTGCGTTTGTACTGTAAAAAGCAGGCTCTTTTGCCGTACAAGGTTTTCAGTTTGCTACTCTTCCACTTTATGAAAAATTTAGCTACTGTTCTGTACTTGACTGAAGAGCAGAACGCATTTCCTCTCTGTAAGTAACCTTATTCCACGTCCTTGTAGAAACGGGGAACTTACGCAATCAGATTTTGAAGTAATTTACAAAATAAAGCATATGCGTGCAACATTCGTTCTTTAAACTTAACCTTGTTGAATTAAATCATTGATATAGCACAGAACTTCAGCAGGGAACGTGGCTTATGCCGTGTATGTGAAGTAAAATAAGGGCACATGACAAAAGGTGACAGTATGGAAAAAAGAACATGAGAAAAGACTGAGGAAGAGAATGACAGATTGGTTCCTGAAGAAAGTGGGTTCTGAGGAAAAATTACTGGAAGGGGAGTGCCTTCTGAGCTTGGGGATTATCATTAAAAAAGGCATGAAACCGAGTGCAAAAGGCAAAAAGCAGTAATGTGACAGGATTAAGAAGAATGTAAGGAGCGATTTGGCGGGAGGGCAGTGGTAGAAAGAAATTACATTGTGCCAGGGTCAATAAACTACTGCCTCTCAAGGAGGTGGATTAACTCTGCGGATGGCAGAAGCGCTCTCATCTGTGTAGCATCTCGCTGAAGCAGTACAGTGGCGCAGCTGCATCCTTACTGATGCAACGTTTTAAGTGTAGATCTGCCCTCAGGCAGCTGTTGTGAAGAAGAATTTGAAAATGTAACCCAACTACAAAGGGTAGAAATATTTCTTTAAAATGAAAACTGAGATTCTGAGGTAATCGGGACTTGGGTCCCTAGACACAGACCAATAATGCCTGTGATTAATCCTGCCCTGCCAAGAAGGTGCAAACTAAGCACCTGAATTTACGTAAAAGGATGGAAGGAAGCCAGTGAGGAGGTTCAAGTGTGGAATAACAAGCTTGGCTGGAATGACAGGAGTAGACGACATTAGTAGTAGTGCTTTCAATACGCTGGATGGTAGAGGGGTGAGAAAAGTGCATTCATGACATTTTACCATTTTGTTGAATAATGACTGTTTGTCTTTAAAATCCCAGGTACCTTGTTGGACAACGACTTGTGAATTACGAGCGAAAATCTGGTAAACAAAGCACATCACCACCACCACCACCTCAGTCTGCACAAGCATAGAATGGTCACATCAAACACCTCAACCTTTTGTTTGCCTTTACATGTCCTTTTTCACAGACGTCTCTTCAGTCTTTGGACATACTTCCCTATGATCTTCTCAGCAGTGTTTCTATTTGTCGCTTCTCTTGGTAGCATTCAGATAGCAGTTAAGGTTCTGTGTCTTTACCTGCATATTCTGATGTTATCCATGCTGTCTGAGGTCTGTAAATGTGTAAATAGAAGTATCCTGATACCGAAAACCTTGGATTAAAAAGAATGTGCATTGTACATCTTTAAAAAAGTATATTAATTTATTAAATCGAGTTGTCACTTTATTTTGGACTGCTGTTCTGTTGACAAACAATGTGCCACAAATAAATGGTGCAAAGGGGCAAGTCATTTTTATAAAAATTGGAGCATATTTTATGGTGTTCATGACAGTTCTTATTACAGTAATAGTAATATGATTTTCTTGGGCTGGAAGGCCACACTGGGAATATAAAAAGGAAATGACCACCCTTCCAGTCAGCAGTGAAGTGGCTGTGGTAAGAACACAATGAACTATGTAGCTTACTGTCAGTCTTTTTTATTGTTTTGTATAACACCAAAGCAGTTGTACATTTTCTATTGCCTGATTATTTTTTTTTCATGTGTCTGGGTTTGTAATATTGTACAGTTACTGGTAGGTTAGGAAAAATATTTCCTTATTTAGACAGTACTTGTAGGGGCTCAGTGACATTAATTCTTTGGCACTGAAAATCAGGATTTCATGATTCTAAGCACCAAATCAAAATTCAATAGCGCTAAATGGTAGGAGCACTTAAACCTGCCAATTGAGGGGTATGTAAGAAGACTACAGTTCTAATTCTCAGCCAATATTTCCCTGACATATCTAAAGCTCTGCATTTTAAATGATTACAGTAAATTTCCCTACTCAGAAGAAGCTTAGCTGACATGTTTGCACAGGACCATAGTGTAAGAAACATGCTGTGAAATGCTCTTTCACTGAACACCTTGAAAAACTGTTTTTTTTTCTTACAACCAAAGCTGCAAATTATACTATAAATGTTATATTAGATCACATACAAATAAAATAAACCTTTACCTTTTCATTTGTAAGGGAGTAACACTAGAAACTTTCAGTGAACATGTACAGAATGTTACCTGTGGAAAACGAAATCCACGTAGTATTAAACAGAGTTAAAGAAAAATGAACTAATTCCTTTGCAAGGATACAGCCAAACGAGAGCCACCAAAATCAAGTTCAACAACTTCTGATATTTTTATATTTAGATAGAATTTTTTTCAGTGGTGATAATGATTTTTTTACGTAGATGTCTTTTAAAGAAAAATACAGAACAATAATACAAAGCTTTAAGTAGAGTTAAATCATGTGCTTAGATGCAGTTATCCATTTCCGGACTGTATGAGGAAAAAAATATATGGAGATTTATTGTGGTAATCAGAAAACTAAAGGAACATGCTTAAATTACTACTCAGCATTCTCCCTGAGCATTGCATATTTAACCATATATATGTAAAATATAATACGTTGGACATACAAGATGCTGCATCTCTGCCTCTGATTTGACAGTGAAGTTTGAGAGCTGTATTGGTCCAGGATTTTTTTAAACCGAATTAATATCTTGGTATCAGGAGCCTAGATTCCTTGACAATGTACACATGCCAAATGCATCTGTGTTAAGCAGTAGGAGGATTGGGCTATCGCTACCAAGAGGTCAACAATTGGTACTTTACATTACTTTATTCTAGTCATTTTGAACTATATATAATATGTGAGCACTTTGGAGTGATTCTTAGAGAATGTCCAGTAAAATGAAGTAATGGAAAAATGGCCTAAACATTTTCACTGTCCATGTCAATTTAAAGTTAAATTGAGTATTCACATCCCAAATATTTTTGACATGCAAATGTTTTACATTTGAATATATATAGTGGTGTACTTTCTGTAAGATAAATATTTTTCAAAAAGATGAAATTTACTGGTAACGCTTTGAGTTCCACCAAGATTTGATCCGGGACGTAGTCTTTGGTAAACAATTCCAAACAGTCTTACCACTCACATATTGCCAGCACTGCTGTGCTTCTTCATGTAGCATTTTCAATAGTGCACTCTTGTAATTTGTGTTTTTTATCCAGATAAACTGGTGTTCAAGAAATATTAAAGTTTATTAAGAAAAAGCCTTTGTGCTTTGTTTCTTATTACTGTTTGTTTTTAAAAATCATAATACAAACCAAATCTGCATTTGGGTCAGTTAGGTAAACTTATTAAATATTTTGCACTAAAGATAGACGTAAGATTACATGAGTTATGTTTGCTTTTCTTAATGAAAATAAGTTGCACTATTTTACAGATATTTAAGGGAAGTGAAGTTTGTTGCTGTATCTGGCCACTATAAACCTCCAAAAGTCTTTTTATCTCAAGATATTATTTTATTCTGAGTATATTTTGCACATTTGTCCCACACAACCTTCACTGTCTTTCCTGAGACACACAGAGTTGAGAAGAAAATATAAGGCAGCTTTTGTTTTAAGGTTTAATACTCTAGTTAAATAATACTCTGGATTATTGTCCTGTGTGATAAGATTCAACGATAAAGGCTTTATTATGGCAGTTAATTCTTCACCATTGTTAGGGGCTGAGAGACTCTGCACCAGTGGCATCTGTGTCTGAAGCAAAATATCTCCAGGAATGCTGGAGTAGCACATAGTGCAGTGGACACTGCTATGCTCTTTGGAAAAGTGCAGTGTGCACTTCCCGTGTCAGTAAGTGCTTTAGTCTGAGGACTGGTGTGGAAGGGGTGAAGCCATTGCCCCACTTAATCAATCAACTCCCTTTTTGTGTGGCCATCACTACTGGTGGCATTAGATATTTCAGGTCTGTGCACCAAGGGATTGCGAGGGTGGAATTGTAGACACTCTTGCACACCAAATAGGGCTAATCACAGCCTGAAGGTTTTAATCAAAGGGGGTTTATTTTTCTGAAACAAAGTTCGCTAATTGTTTCCTGCTGAGGAATTGTCTTAATCAGTTTATACTATTTACTTGAATTTTAACTATGTAGCTAGTAAACGTTTATATTACTTTAAATTAAACATATTAAGTACAAATTAAAGGGAAACTGTATTGTAATAAAATATTACCAGTGCCCTTAAAGGGAGTAAACTTAGTTAAAACTTTGCATCTCTCTGCTGGGTCCCCTTCACATCAAACAGACTGCTTATCTTCACTTTCAAGGCCCTTCAGAGCAGTGGTTCTCAAAGCCGGTCCACTGCTTGTTTGGGGAAAGCCCTGGCGGGCCGGACCAGTTTGTTTACCTGCTGCGTCCGCAGGTTCGGCCGATCGTGGCTCCCACTGGCCGCGGTTCGCCACTCAGGCAAAACGCTGCAGGAAGTGGCGCAGGCCAAGGGACGTGCTGGCCGCCCTTCCCGCAGCCCCCAATAGCCTGGAGCGGCGATCGGCCAAACCTGCGGACGTGGCAGGTAAACAAACCGGTCTGGCCCACCAGGGGCTTTCCCTGAACAAGTGGCGGACTGGCTTTGAGAACCACTGCTTTAGAGTATGTCTATGTTGCATTTAAAAACCTGCTGACTTGGACTTGGGCGCCTGCTGACTTGGGCTCAGTCTAAGGAGCTGTTTAATTGCAGTGTGGACATCTGGGTTTGGGCTGCAGCCTGGGCTGTAGGACCCTACAGCCCAAGCCGGAATGTCTACACAGCACTTAGCAGCCCTGCAGCCCAAGTCAGCTGGCGCAGGCCAGCCATAGGTGTCTAACTGCAGTGTAGTTACAGCCTATCCCCACCCTACCTATTGTCTCATTTCACTGTTGAAATGTTGACTCCCATCTCCGATCAACCAGTAAGGCCAATTTCCATTGCCCACTTGTTAAGTTTTCAAACAAGCACCTTTGTACTTTCTCCCATGCTGCCCTGCACACTTGGGAGATGCTCCATGTAAACAGCCACAAAGCTATCTCATTATCCTCCTTTAAATCCCTCCTGAAAGTTCTGCTTTGCCCTGATGCCTACAAAACACTTAACTTGGTGCACTGAGCCCACTGCCTAACATGCTGACCATTGCTATCTTGTTGTTTCCTTGCATGCCCTGTCTGTATCCATTTGTTGTCTTTTATCTTCGACTTAGCTTGTAAGCTCTTTGGGTAGGAACCATCTTTGTTTTCTGTTTATATAGTGTCTAACACAGTGGGGTCCTGGTCCATGAGTAGGGCTTGTAGGCACTACAGTAATACGAATAATAATTTATATATTATTTATATATTATTTGTGTATATATAAATATATATAAAATCAAACAGGCAGGCACCTACATAGACTGATAATGCAGATTAGGAAATATATCTCCAGACTGAAACAAATGGGGAAATTGGAGCTTTTTCAAAACGGGGAGGTAAGTTTGATTTCATTTTTTTAAATTAGTTAACTTTACAGTACTTGTTAAATTAAAACTCAAACCCCCCCCCCCCCCCTGGTAAATTCTTACATCTTACATTTTCAAAAGTTTTGGTAAATTCTGACATCTGATTCATTCTAATGTGGAGATACATTTCCTGTGTCAAAGGAGGATATTGATATAATAGGCATCAGAGAAACCTGGTGGAGTGAGGACAGTCAATGGAACACAATCATTCTGGGGTACAAAATATATCAGAAGGACAGAAGAGGTTGGGCGTGGGGAGTGGCACTATATGTGAAAGAAAATGTAGAATCAAATGAAATAAAAATCTTAAATGAATCCACATGTTCCGTAGAATCTCTATGGATAGTAATTCCACGCTCTTATAGGAATATAACCGTAGGGATCTATTATCGACCATCTGACCAGGACAGTGATTGTAATGATGAAATGCTAAGGGAGATTAGAGAGACTATCAAAATAAAAAACTCAATAATAGTGGGGGATTTCAATTATCCCCATATTGACTGGGTACATGTCACCTCAGGACGAAATGCAGAGACAAAATTTCTCCATACTTTAAATGACCACTTCTTGGAGCAGCTGGTACAGGAACCCACAAGGGGAGAGGCAACTCTCGATCTACTCCTGAGTGGAGCACAGGATCTGGTCCAAGAGGTAACTATAACAGGAAATAGTGACCATAATAAAATAACATTTAACATTCCTGTGGCGGGAAGAACACATCAACAGCCCAACACTGTGGCATTTAATTTCAGGAAGGAGAACTATGCAAAAATGAAGGGGTTAGTTAAACAGAAATGAAAGGGTACGGTGACTAGAGTGAAATCCCTGCAAGCTGCATAGACACTTTTCAAAGACACCATAATAGAGGCTCAACTTAAATGTATACCCCAAATTAAAAAACACAGTAAAAACTAAAAAAGAGCCACCGTGGCTTAACAACCTTGTAAAAGAAGCAGTGAGAGATAAAAAGGCATCTTTTAAAAAGTGGTAGTCAAATCCTAGTGAGGTAAATAGAAAGGAGCAGAAACACTGCCAAATTAAATGTAAAAATGTAATAAGAAAAGCCAAAAAGGAGTTTGAAGAACAGCTAGCGAAAAACTCAAAAGGTAATAATGTTTTTTAAGTACATCAGAAGCAGGAAGTCTACTAAACAACCAGTGGGGCCCCTGGATGATCAAGATACAAAAGGAGCACTTAGAGACGATAAAGTCATTGCGGAGAAACTAAATGAATTCTTTGCTTCAGTCTTTGTGGCTGAGGATGTTGGGGAGATTCCCAAACCTGAGCCATCTTTTGTAGGTGACAAAGCTGAGGAATTGTCACAGATTGAAGTGTCACTAAAGGAGGTTTTGGAATTAATTGAGAAACTTAACAGTAACAAGTCACCGGGACCAGATGGCATTCACCCAAGAGTTCTGAAAGAACTCACACGTGAAATTGCGGAACTGTTAACTATGGTTTGTAACCTGTCCTTTAAATCAGCTACTGTACCCAATAACTGGAAGATAGCTGATGTAATGCCAATATTTAAGAAGGGCTCTAGAGGTGATCCCGGCAATTACAGATCGGTAAGGTTAACATCAGTACTGGGCAAATTAGTTGAAACAATAGTAAAGAATAAAATTGTCGGACATGAAGAACATAAATAGTTGCGCAAAAGTCAGCATGGTTTCTGTAAAGGGAAATCATGTCTTACTAATCTATTTAGTTCTTTGAAGGGGTCAACAAACGTGGAGAAGGGGGATCCAGTGGACATAGTGTATTTAGATTTCCAGAAAACCTCTGACAAGGTCCCTCACCAAAGGCTCTTACATAAATTAAGTTGCCATGGGATAAGAGGGAAGATCCTTTCATGGATTGAGAACTGGTTAAAAGACAGGAACAAAGGATAGGAATAAATGGTAAATTTTCAGAATGGAGAGGGGTAACTAGTGGTGTTCCCCAGGGTCAGTCCTAGGACCAATCCTATTCAACTTATTCATAAATGATCTGGAGAAAGGGGTAATAAACAGTGAGGTGGCAAAGTTTGCAGATGAAACTAAACTGCTCAAGATAGTTCAGACCAAAGCAGACTGTGAAGAACTTCAAAAAGATCTCACAAAGCTAAGTGATTGGGCAACAAAATAGCAAATGAAATTTAATGTGGATAAATATATAGTAATGCACATTGGAAAAAATAACCCCAACTATACATACAATATGATGGGGGCTAAGTTAGCTACAACTAATTAGGAGAAAGATCTCTGAGTCATCGTAGATAGTTCTCTGAAGACGTCCACACAGTATGCAGAGGCAGTGAAAGAAGCAAACGGAATGTTAGGAATCATTAAAAAAGGGATAGAGAATATCTTATTGCCCTTATATAAATCCATAGTACGCCCATATCTTGAATACTGCGTACAGATGTGGTCCCCCTCATCTCAAAAAAGATATACTAGCATTAGAAAAGGTTCAGAAAAGGGCAACTAAAATTATTAGGGGTTTGGAATGGGTCCCATCTGAGGAGAGATTAAAGAGGCTAGAACTTTTCAGCTTGGAAGAGAGGAGACTAAGGGGGGATATGATAGAGGTCTATAAAATCATGAGTGGTGTGGAGAAAGTGAATAAGGAAAAGTTATTTACTTGTTCCCATAATATAAGCTGCCTAACATCAACCTGTGGAACTCCTTGCCTGTGGAGGTTCTGAAGGCTAGGACTATGACAGCGTTTAAAAGAGAACTGGATAAATTCATGGAGGTTAA